CTGTGTGCGGAGGGATAATTTAACGCGGTGAGGTAGTGAAACTGGAAAGGCTTAGATTTAGCATAACTGAGCCCAGTCATAAACCAAAAAACGGCTAACTGGAGGTCTGATAAGACAAAAATGGCGGCATGAATATTCTACTTGCTTCAAATTATCTCCTTCATTCCCAATGACTTGTTCCCTGGGGTGTGTATCAAACATGTTTGGGTGGCTGGCGAATTAATCCAATCTAAACATGAAAGATGTGTAACTTTGCGATTGGAAAGTCTTGCAGAGAAATTGGTTAACACTTTAGGCCAAAAATGGCATCTTTAGAGATTATCAAAAACGAACCGAGAAATGAATTTGATTCACATCTGTACGAGACCAAGAAAAATAAAAGGAAGTAAATAAACACAAAGACCTAGAATGTGTTATATTATTTGGTAAAATAACTCATTTGACTAAAAATCTGTCAAAATGAGTGCGTGGATATTGACACTGAGCGCACAGATTTTATTAAGAAGGCATTTCTTGAATCTTCCACCCCTACATTTCGGAAGTGGTGTAAGCTGGTGGTCAAGTCTCTTTCGGAGAAAGAAATGCGTTGTGTAAAATTCTCTGCCAGGCTTTGCTGGAGTTTGTACAAGTCTTTGCTTTGCTGGTGTGGTGTTTGCGTGGTGTGACCTAAAAAATCGGGGTCGCGTGAAAACCTTGTATTTGGCACACAGCCGTATATTGCGACACATTTTGTGAACGACCCAGGATTGATAAATTCAGGTGACTTGAGTCGCTGGGGAGCAAGGTCTTGAAGGTACCTAATGCCCCTAAGCTGTGCATACATAGGCATGATGCAGATGTAGGTGAGGTAGAATAAAGCCAAAGATGTCCAGGTTCTGTGAAGCCTTGCTGATGCTTGGTGGTTTCAAGTGAACTCGGACTTGGATGACATCTTAAAACCTTTGAACGGGTAACATAAGATTGGTATGTGTAATTAAAAAACGTCAGGTAACAGTGAAAAATTGACACGAAACATCAACAAAGGGAATAAAAAATTCCTCCCAATAAGGTGTTGCTTTACACCCCAAGTCGGCCATTCTAGTACCATGCATCAGAGCCTGACAGCCTCATCATCAGACATGAGAGCGACGTTTCCGCTCGGCATGCGTCCTTAGAGAAGTAAATCATGTTATTACAACGACGCAAGGAGTGCGCTACACACGGCTGAAACATCCGCGTCCAGCTAGCTGCACTGTCAGTCTGATTGGCATGCCCGGCAGCCAATCAGATGCGGCATCCATGACGAGGCTGAGGGCGATGCCACACTGGCCGTAGGCCGCGCGGAGTGAGACGGTGACGCCACACTGGCCGTGGGTCGCGGGGAGTGAGACGGCGACACCACACTGGCCGTGGGCCACGGGGAGTGAGATGGCGACACCACACCGCCCGTGGGCCGCGGGGAGTGAGACGGCGACACCACACTGCCCGTGGGCCGCGGGGAGTGAGACGGCGACACCACACCGCCCGTGGGCCGCGGGGAGTGAGACGGCGACACCACACCGCCCATGGGCCGCGGGGAGTGAGACAGCGACACCACACCGCCCATGGGCCGCGGGGAGTGAGACGGCGACACCACACTGGCCATGGGCCGCAGGGAGCGGAGCGGAATCATGGTCGACGACGCGGTCGGGACGTAATGACGGCCAGAGAGCAGGGCCTGGGACGACGTTAGCGGCAGAAAACTGGGCAAGTTAAGAATCAAGGGTGTAAAAAATGCGTTGTCATTTATCATCTTTACGACCTATGCGTCGAGCGCCATTAGGTGCACGTGTGGGAGCAAAGCGGTATCAGGGACAGACGTGCAACCAGCTCTGTGCCTTTCGGAGGGGGGAGGGGGGGGGGGGGCAAGCGCCACGCCCAGCCGGCACCGGTGCCGATCAGCAACTGAAGCTTCCGACCGGAGGATCACAGGCAACTCATCGTGATGGAGGGTTCGATTGCCGCTTTGCAAGCAGATGTGGAAAGCCAACCGTTTAGATTTGAAGCGACCCTACGAACGGATCCATATCGCTTCCAGCAATCGCCGTGGAATCCACGACGGCTCGCACGGCGGGGCTCCCGGCAGCAGCCCCGGGGCATACACCAGTGGCACCAGCGAGGCTTCCGGCAACACGGCGAGGCTCCCGGCAGCAGCCCCGGGGCATACACCAGTGGCACCAGCGAGGCTTCCGGCAACACGGCGAGGCTCCCGGCAGCAGCCCCGGGGAATACACCAGTGGCACCAGCGAGGCTTCCGGCAACACGGCGAGGCTCCCGGCAGCAGCCCCGGGGCATACACCAGTGACACCAGCGAGGCTTCCGGCAACACGGCGAGGCTCCCGGCAGCAGCCCCGGGGCATACACCAGTGGCACCAGCGAGGCTTCCGGCAACACGGCGAGGCTCCCGGCAGCAGCCCCGGGGAATACGTCAGTGGCACCAGCGAGGCTTCCGGCAACACGGCGAGGCTCCCGGCAGCAGCCCCGGGGAATACGTCAGTGGCACCAGCGAGGCTTCCGGCAACACGGCGAGGCTCCCGGCAGCAGCCCCGGGGAATACGTCAGTGACACCAGCGAGGCTTCCGGCAACACGGCGAGGCTCCCGGCAATAGCTCCGGGGAATACGTCAGTGGCACCAGCGCCGGACCTGGAATGCCCCGGGAGAATACGGACCTGGATTGCCCGGGGGAATACCCCAGTGGCACCAGCACCGGACCTGGATTGCCCCGGGAGAATACGGACCTGGATTGCCACGGGGAATACCCCAGTGGCACCAGCACCGGACCTGGATTGCCCCGGGGAATACCCCAGTAGCACCAGCACCGGACCTGGATTGCTCCGGGGAATACGTCAGTGGCACCAGCACCGGACCTGGATTGCTCCGGGGAATACGTCAGTGGCACCAGCACCGGACCTGGGGACCTGGATTGCACTGGAACTGAACTGGAACTGAAAGATCATGCACTACCGTCAGCTGTGCCGAAATAACACTTAATTTCACGAAACTAACATATCTAGATTGACCTATCGATCACATGTTTAACACCCTATCACTAATAATACTTATGAGTGGTACGCTATCTCAACAAACCACAATCCAGCCTTACATCTCACTCCAATTCCCTCATGGAGTCGGAAGTACAGGCACATACATGGTGTCGATACCTGTCCGCTTAAGCACTTCCTTGTGGTAGGAAAAGCCAAAAAGTGGGACTGTACAGCAAACATACATAACATACAGGGAATAAATAATGCTCACGTAGATCTTTGAGCTGAGCATTCCTATCTTCCTAGAAAATCAACAACTGGTGCCAACTTCTAGCTCATTTTCCAATGAAAACGTATTCTAATTTCACAGTGCACCGCAGTGGTGTGGGTGAGTGGACCTGGAGACAGCCATATGACCCATCTCTACGAACGTGGCATTCTGATATCAATACGCCTTATATGCAGCCTGTTGATAAGCCCTCTGCGTTCCAGGTCCCGAGAAGACCCTCATTCGATACACACGCAACGAAGACAATCATTCAATACGTTGAAAGTATCCAGAACGACAAATACACGTGGTTCAACCCTGCAAATCCCACATTTTCATTTGCGTCTGGCACTTTGTGCAACACTGCACCGGTTGCACTGAATAGTTACGCAGCTATTCGCTGTAATGAAGTGGTCACTTATCAAGACGATGCTATGAAAAGCGCGCGGAGAAAACGCCGGATGTGTGCTACCATGCGCCCATAGGTGCACACTTCAGCAGTGCATCGTCGTGGTCGGCAACACGGACCCCAAAACTTCAGGCGTGCTTTGGCTCGCAGCTGCCGCCACACGCCACACAAGGCCGGCGCAGATCAATTACGGCCACCCTGCGAGCACATGGCTCCCCCCCCCCCTCGTCATGCCGAGCGATCGGAGCGGCGGCTGTGCACGACCGGCTGGCAGCGCGCCTGGCGCCGCCGTGAGGTCAGCCCGGCAGGCATCGCCGTCACTCAGCGGCTGGTGCCCGGCCAGACGCCGCCCGTCCGGCGGCCGGCCCGCCATAAGCCGCAGCCGCCAGCCGCCGCCGTCACTGGGCGTCTGCCGACCGCCCCGGCCCCGCCCCGGCGCTCGCATTGTCCGCTGAGTGCGGCGCCGGCGGCACGGACCGGCCGCGGGCATCGGCGCCTCCTCCGCCGGCGGCGGTGTGATGCCGTGCAGGCGCGCGGCCGGGTTCTGTCTGAAGACAGGCCCTGGCACCCGCTCGGTCGTTGGCAGGCTCCGGCCGCTACTCAGCCGCCGCCGGGAGACCGATCGACGTCGGGGCGTCTCCGGAGACCGGCCGTCTGACCTGGGACGCCGGGAGGGTGAAGCTGGCACCACAGGCACAGGCTCGCCCGATAGCAGCCTCATGGCAACACCACGCCGAGTACGCCATCTGAGCAGCTTCCACGCAGCAGCACCATCCAATCAACGCAGGATGACGATGGACCTCACGAGGTAACGACCGCTCAGCGCGAGCCCGCCACGGGACAGGATTTGTGAGGGCTCCGTCCAGGAACGGTCTCGCCAGACGACCTCGGGTTGACATACACCTTTCACACGAGCGGCTGGTGACGTTACGACCGCCAGCTGAGCGGCGGGCCTGCGGCGCGACCTCGCCCACGCGGGCCGCCCGCCCCCGCCGGGGTTGGCGCCGTGGCCCCCACGTGCCGGCCTGGTCGTGACGGCTCCGGCCTTGGCGAGGGCGGCGCGCCATGGCTCAGACACCCGGCGGCCGGCGTGGCGGCTATGGCCTACTGGGCGCACCGATAGCTCAGCCCCGCTGCCGAACGCGGCTCCATGCCGCCCCGGTCACACCGCCATCACCGTCCGACTCCGGTGGGATGAGATCTGCGGCGGCTCCGTCGCCGCGGTGGCGCCGGCGACAGGGGTGCGGGGGCCATGTCGGCCTTTGGGCGGTAGTGGGCGTGCCTGCTGCCCCTGGCTGCCCCCTGGGGGTGCCGACCTACCTGTGTACGCTGACCCAGTGACCGGAGGAGTCGTTCGTGGCGCCGTCACTCCGCACAAAGCCAGCGGCATCCAGCGGCTGCCACACGTCCGACACGGCTTGTCTGGCGACAGACGAAACCATACACGTCGGATGAGACGCTCACAACGCACAGAAGGGGCACAACACAAAAGGACACGATTCCCCAAAGAGCGACAGTGCGCATGCGTCCACCCCCCCCCCCCCCCCCTCTCAAAAACAGCAGCTAGGGACCGCCCGGAAACATCAAGGTTTTTAAATAAGAGACCACGCAACAAGACGGGAATGTTTGGAGGCGAGTCTGTTTCGAAATTTTCAGTGATTGTTGCTTCTCTGCAAATTTAAAAACAAACCTACCAATAACTGTGCTGGGGTTATATCTATATCAAGACAAACGATAATCCCAATGAGAAATAACTGAAAGTATGCCGGTTCATCGCAGGTGTTAGATAACAAAAACGAAGTCAAATACAGGCGAGACCGTCGCAGCTATAACGAGCGCTGGGAAAGGCAAAAGCGTTTCAGACAATACATTTGCGTAAACATTCATCATCCGGGCGGCTGTGAGCTGTCGCCAATCGCTCTTGTCAGCTGTCACGGACACCTCCCTTTAGGTAAAGGAAACGTGAGGCAAAGTGGCGTTTGAAACAATTTAAAACATACCAGGTGGAAATGAAAATCTGCTCGGATTTCCCTCGCTCATAGCACTCAGGTGACAAACCACATTGCCGAATGCATTGATGCAGAAAATAGGCAAATTTTGAAGACGTTTGTCGTGCACTGTTCACACTTCGTCATGAATCAGGGAGCTTCTCACGGTCGCGCTCCAAGTGACCCCGTTTTCGAAGGAGGCACATATCTGCGGGCCTCGACAGCTATCGGATAAGCTAAGTCAGCTTCTCTGGTTGTAATCTTGAGAACCACTTAGCCCCACTCAGGTTACTGAGGCTCTGGGGCTCATCCTACAGACTGGACATCTCAGGACCGCACAGGAATAACCATCTAGGGGGCCCCAACGGCGGCTGGAACACAAGGCGCACCACTTCTGGGCTAGCAGCGGGCTCTCCGGTGCCGTTTTTAGCAGCTCTGAGCTCAAATGCTGCGGTCTCCAATCGCCTAACTGAGGTGGATTTGGGCCACGTCGCTGAACCAGACGTGGCTCTGAAACTCCCGGTCGGCTTAACCCTTCGCCTTCAGTCCGGCCACACACGTCGCTGAACCAGACGTGGCTCTGAAACTCCCGGTCGGCTTTAAGCCTTCACCTTCAGTCCGGCCACACATGTCGTTGAACCAGACGAGGCTCTGAAACTCCCGGTCGGCTTCAAGCCTTCACCTTCAGTCCGGCCACACACGTCGTCCGCTATTGGTTATCGGCTTTGCCCTATTTTGGTGGATGGTCATTTTATAAGGAAATAGTTTGAAGTCATTTTCCGACATCTGCGTTCATAGATTACCTTGGCCATTTTTTGGATGAATTTTTAATATATCCTTGGTGACGATAGGCCTGACTGTTCCGACGCCCTGCGTTCTCCTTTTGATCACATTTTTACGCCCGTCCTGCATTTCGGTTGGGCTCAGGTCCATCTCTTAGGAACTTCCCCTGCAGCGACAAAATCGTTTTTGCACAAAGGGCGCATTGGGTTTTGCAGTCTAGTTTGAGCTGCCTTTGTGTTGCACGGCTGGATGTCGTCGACCGATGGAAATTGACAGGCTTTGTTTTCAGTTCTGCGCTGAGCGGCAGCATGGTGCCACCACCAGAGCTAAACCTCCCAGGTGCGTAATGTCGAACGAAACGGACAGGCATGCGCTTGTGCGGTATTGGGCTCCGTTATACGTGCATCAAACCAGGACATCTTTTTCTTCTTCTCGGCACTTGTCATGCATTATGTACACAATCTCCCACACATGCCAAAATATCACGCGCTCGAACTTTCTCACAGAATGTTCATCACTCGACGGCACCGGCGGAAACGTAAATGCGTTCGATTTTCGAGAATATTTATTGAATTGTTCAGGGTTTTGTTACGGAATTTAGACTACCTATCAGTACAACCTTTTTTAACTGCACTGCAATTTCAAGTTTTCAGGTATCAGGCACGGGGCAGTCAAGGGGTGAGCTCCTCCCCCCCCCGCACTCCTATCCTGAAGCAGTATCATACTACCGTCGCAATCACATAAATGGCGTCAATTTAGCTCTCAAGCCTGTTGCACAATGAACCAAAGTGACTCATAAGTGGCATTGGTTGCACAGGCGTTATTCAAGGTCGAAGACATGTCAAGAAGTTTTCAAGACAGCCACAGGACTGTGAGAAGGCCATTCACCGAGTTACATGCTCATCGTCTATTTATCGACCATTCCTCGCGTCGTGCATGAACACCGTCAGCACCACTCACCCAGGCCTACTGGCAATGGAGGTCGGGGAATGGGCTCAGGCGCGCCATGCTCCACTATGAATGCCAGAAAAGCTCTTTTAAAGCTGAAAAATGTGGGTTGATATCAGTTCACCTGACCTGACATCAGCTATTTCAATAGGTACACGTCGCAAAATAACCTATGCAGGACGTTGCACGTAACGTAACATGAACCTCTTTTCGAAACGCACATTGGCTTTGGAAAACGTTGTGTTCTTGGGTACTCAGTCCGTCGCAAGGCTCTGTTTGCAAAGCATTCATGAACCAATGACACATCGCCCAGAGACGCACTGATTCAAACTTCCACCAATGTACTTCCCGCTTGATGGGTTAGGTGGCCCGCTGTGCAAATCCCAAATTTTCATTTCTATTGATATCATTCATGCATTACAGGTGTCACTTTTAGGCCTGCACGCTCGAAGGATGCGGTTAAAAAGGAGTTCAAAAGTGGTAACTCTAGCCCTGAACAGCTGACGACGGTCCGCAGCAAATACTGCTGTTGTCAACTGTTACGAAATAGGGGTGCCACTTTTGTTTGCGCGCGCTTTGCGGGCCTGCGAGCAGAAATATAGCACCTCTAGTTCACGTCCATAAATGGCGGAGCACATTTTGAACTCTAGGCTTCAGGTATACCAAGGGCCTGATTGTTAGTGCTCAGGAAGCCTTTCACCAATCCAATTTCGAATGAGATCGCCGTGAAATCCACGCACGCAGCCGCGGGGGCTACAACGCATATCTCACTTGGATGTCGCATACCTCACGCATTGCCCACCCCAGAAATGAATCTTGGGCTACAAAGAAAATGTATACGACTGTGACGAAACGCCGAATGCGTAATTTGAGCTCGACGACACAGAAAACTCATCTGCTTTTTTATCTGGCAGGCAACATGGTGGCCTACCCAGTGTCATTACTGCAAATAACTGGTCCTGAGGTTGTACCAGAGAAGATTTCTTCAAGCCATTCCACAAAGGTTCCACACTAGCTTAAATTGAGAGGCTTGCAAAACAAAGCACCTCACGCCGCAGCGCTCTACGCATTCATTCGACAATCGAATGGTAGAGTTTGCCGTGCTGGCCTTCGACGACGACTTTTCTCCTTGAACAGATGACCTTTGGCTCTGCAACGCAGTGGAAAGCTTACGTGAGCATGAAATACCCGCTATACGTTGGTCTGAATATCGATTTACAATTTATATAAATATAGCACACATGCTAACGGAATATTCCAATGTACCTGTCACAATATTCAAATGCCAAGCAACACCAAATACTGAGTTTTAGTCGCACCTCCTTCTCCCACTGTGCCGTTATAAATACCGGAATATCCACATCGGTGAGGGGTTATGTCTAACAAATGTCCATAAAGCAATAATGCATGCCATTCCATGAATGCCAATAAGCAATGCAATGGTCACCGAGTAAAATGAATGATATTTTTAGCCATACAACTGAACTTTCCCACTCGCCAAGCACCTAGAACAGTCGCGTACCGCCACAGTGCACGCAAAGATCAAGGTCATGTTTTATTAATCTTAATCCCAGGCCCCAAACCTCGAGGCTGCAATAATAAAAGCTTGAACGTATTTCTCGGAAAATGTGGCCAAAGGCCCTGGATTGTGAACGCAGTAGCCGCATTCACGTGTAACTTCCCAGCGACGAGATCATTACCGACGCAATTCTGGATGCCTTCGTTGGGCTGACACAGAGCATCCACGTCGCGCCGCCATGAGCGTAACGCATACCTGCCGAGTCTAAGCCGTGCCTGCTGCTGGCAGTTCGCTGCTCGCAGCCAGTTCCAAGCCTCAGAACTACGACGGCTTGGGGAGTTTGTGGCAGTTGTGGTCTGGCAGAGGAACTGGGCCCAAGATGCACTACAGGAAACGACTTTTGCTGACAGGGAATGGTACTCTCACCGTAATTAAGCGCTCAAAAAACCACAAAACTTAGTCTGTGAAATCGACACACAAACAGAACCTTACGGGCCCACCGCTCAGTTTCCACGCAAAGTTCCTTTCAAAGTACGTATTCATTGGAGTCCCAAGAGAGAAAAACGTGTTTCGCTTTTTCAGCCTCAAGGAGTACCTTATTATGAGTTAGTAGTTTTCAAGCAGAAACTAATTAATATCCAAAGTCAAAGGAGGTTCAGGTTTAACGACGCTATCAAGCAAGACGTGGTTTTATTGCAGAGAAAAACTCGGTGTTACGAAGCTACGTTCATGTTCATCACAATGAAAATCGCCAACTCACAATGTCGTAAAAACAGGGTTTTTTTAGATAGAGTTTGAGCCTTTTCAGTAAATGGCTTTGGAGATTGGAGCTGACGCTGCGCAGTGCATGCCGCAAGGACACCCACTCTTACCATACCGTCGTGAAATTCCTAGTGAACGGCAGAATCTGGTGGCGAGAGTATAACGTACCGGAATGCTCGACCCGCTTCATGTTGTCCTCTGACGTTACCTGGCCTTTCAGAGTGGCCTCTGCCACCGGCCACAGGCTATTCCAGTCAGGAGCAAATAGCGAGGGCCCGAAATGACTCGAACCCACCCCGCCACGTATGGGTGGATTAGGAAGCGGGCGCTCTAGCCAACTGGGCTATCGACGGGGGGGGGGGGGGGGCGAGCGACGCAGGAGATCAAGACCTTTCAACTTTTATTGGGATTCTCGTGTTGTG